TATATATTAATAAAGTAATGAAGGTAAAGTTCCCCTGCATGTTTTGTTTGTGGATTTTGGACAAGCATATGATAGAGTCGATAGAGTCAAAATGTATCGAGCAATGAAACATTTGGGTATACCAAAGAAACTGATCCGGCTAGTTAAAATGACACTAAATAACTCTACGTGTGAAATTGCTTGTGAATTTCGCATTTATCAGATCAATTTACGATTGCAAAAGGCTTAAGACAGGGAGATCGTTTATCCTCTACATTATTCAACTTAGTATTAGAAACTGTAATCGGAAAATGCAGCCTGAAGGTGGAAGAAATGATCATGAAAAATAAGCATCAGTGCTTGGCATTTGCTGACGATCTAACGATCCCAGCTAAAACTGAGAAAGAATTAAGAAGAGTTGTAAAGAAAATCATCGAAGAAGCACAGAAATTCGGATTGGAACTAAATGAAGACAAAACGAAATGTATGATCATGGGAGGGACAGAAGGAAAAGAAAACTTTAGTGTGAGGTCTGTAAGTGGTAAAAGCTATAGTTTTAAAAGGGAGGACAAATTTGAATACCTGGGTGTAGTTTTCGATGAAAATGGAACAGAGAAATGGAAGCTTGAAGCCAGAAAAGCAAAAGGGAATAAATAATTAGGTAGTTTAAGAGCCTAATTAAACTCAAAATACGTTTCTAGACAAGGTAAACTCAGAATATATAAAACAGTTTATATGCCGGTGAGACATGGACACAAAATAAGAAGGAAGAGGATACTCTGGAAAGATGGGAAAGGAAAATATTGAGACGCATATTCGGAGGACGAAAGACAGAAGATGGTTGGGAGAGAAGAACCAACAATGAATTAATGGCTTAATACAAAGAACCTATTATTACCAAGTTCGTCAAGGCACAATGAATCAGATGGTTTGGATATGTGGAAAGAATGGCATCAAACATACTGCCTAAACTAGTAATAACCAGAAAATTATTCGGTCCCAAAAGAAGAGGTAAACCCAGAACAAGGTGGATTAGTAAAGTGGAGGAAGACCTTAAACACGTGAAGGTGAGGGACTTTAAAAGAAAAGCACAAAATAGAAGCTAATGGAGAAATATTGTACTCCAGGTCCTTCAGAGTAGTTAAGAATGTTGTATATACATATTTAAGTTAGATTTTTTTTTCAAATAATTCTAAGTAGTTATTATTAGGATTATGTTGTAAAAAAATGTCCTAGGACTTAACGGCATGTGCTTGTGCGTAAAAATAAAATAAATAAAATAAATATCCTAATAGAGTGTCCTATATATATATATATATAAATATATATATATATATATAATATATATATATATATATATATATATATAGACTTCGGCAAATATGCATATTGCATATATTGCATATTGTGCATATTTTATGCAAATATTTCATATTTTGGCATATTTGTATAAAAGTTTGCATAAAGTGCATAAAAGTTCAGATTTTTATACTGTATTTGAAAATTTTTAAACATACCAATTTATTTCAATTCTTGTATAAAATTTTGTAGTCATTTTAATCAAGAAATGATCTTAGTACGTAATCTCTACAGGTACAAAACATTTACAATTTCAAAGAAGATCAATTTAAGTAGCCCTCAACATTCTTAGAAAGTCTCGGTCACTGAGGCATTCAGTTATTGGATAATCGCTAAGGGTTCGCTCATTTGCATTTTATGATCTAATCCCCAAATCTATCTACAATTTATTGTATCTTAACAGCAGGTCAACGGCTAATAGTTTTGTTCCTAATTTAGGGATTTTAAAAAATCTCCCAGTTTATTGAATTAGGTACCTAAACATTATTCTAATTTGATGCTCAGATTTGTAAATCATTTTTGTTTTGATATTCAAAGCGTAAACACTCGTTGTGCGTAACAAAAAGGAAGATTGTGATTTTATAATGCCTAAAACAACCAGTGCTTCAACTTGGATTAAACCTTATAAAGAGCTGTCTATGGATATGGGAAAAATCTACTGTTCAGTCTGTGGCAAAATTGTAAGTATCTAATATTTTCTATTAAATATCTAATATTTCATACATACAGGGTGTTTCCAAATGACACTTACAACGCTTGACTGTAGATACTTCTCGAAAAATTGAACAAAACGATATAGTTAATGAGGGATCAAACTTATTTACTTTTCGAGATACAGGGTGTTAAAATTAAAAAAAAAATTAAATTCTTTTAGTTAATAACAACAATAACTTTAAAACCAATAAACGTATTTACTTGAAATTTAGTACTCGTAGGTTGTTTTTAAATGAAAAATAGCTTCCTTTAGTGAGAAAAAATTGTCCATGGTACAATACAATGGTGTGTATTTAGAAAAATTTTTCACCTTTACTTTTTTTTATGAAGTCAGCTATTCTAAAACACAATTATTTTTATTGTAATTGAATTAACAAAAAAAAACTTTTGTTGAATTTTAAAATAAGTTATATGATGTACTAATGGTTAGTAACAAAAACTAATTTGTGGATTAATACTGCATTTAAAACACTTAGCGAGTGTTTTTTCCAAACCAGTTATTTGATTAACCAAAAACACATTGTATATTTTTATATTTTAAAGGTTGGGTTAAAATAAAGTTTTTATTTTTATTTATAGATAGCATGTGAGAAGAAATTTCAGATAGACCAACATGTGAGAACTGCTTCACACATTGCAAAAAAAGGAAAAATAGGAGGAAAACATTAAACTCCAATGGGTAAATGTTTCCAATCTACTTCAAAAAAATTAGATGAGCAAGAAACTTTTAATGAAGACTTGTGTCGCGCATTAGTGTCTGCAAACATACCGCTTTCAAAATTAGCAAATGTAAATTTTAGTTCGTTTCTAAAAAAATATTGCAAACTTAATGTTCCAAGTGATCGGTCTCTAAGAAGAAATAATGTGAACGGGCTATACTCGTCGGTGTTAATTAATATTAAGGAAGAAATTGCAGATAATTATTTTTACATATCTGTAGACGAAACCACTGATTCCTCAGGAAAGTATATTGCTCATTTATTGATTGGTGTTCTTGAAGAAGATACCTTACCAAAATCTCATCTTATTTCATGCCAGCAACTTGAGAAAACAAATGCTTTAACAATTTCGCGTTTTATACAAGAAACATTAGCAACTTTTTTTCTTCCGACAACTATTCCTTCTAATAAATTACTGCTTATTTTATCGGATGCTGCTCCTTATATGGTGAAAGCAGGACAAAATTTAAAAATATTTTTCCCAGATTTAATACATGATACTTGTGTAGCGCATGGATTAAACAGAGTTGCAGAGGAAATACGAAAAAAGTTTCCTCTTGTAAATACCATGATATCCAGTGTCAAAAAAGTATTTCTTAAATCTCCTATAAGAATTCAATTTATAAAGAAATGCTACCTAACATTCCTCTTCCACCACAACCTATTTTAACGCGATGGGGAACATGGTTAGAAGCAGCTAATTTTTATGCAGATCATTTTGTTAAAATTAAGAACATAATTGACACGTTAACAGATGAAAGTTCTCAATCTCTTTTGGATTCTAAACAAACTTTTCAGAGTAACTTGCTTCAACAAGAACTTTCATTTATAAAATCAAATTTTAGTTTTGTTCAAAAAACAATTACTCAGTTAGAATCACCCAAACTGTCATTGTTCGAAAGTACAGCATTAATAAAAGAATTTGCGTCATGTTGTCGGAACGTTAGAGGTAATATTGGAAAAGATATTTTAAAAAAAATTGAAGCTACTATGGAAAAAAATAAAGGTTACCATATTCTTTCTGAAGTAGTCAGTGTTCTAGCTGGAAATAGTTCGGAAACAATTAATTTAGAATCCAATGTTTTGGTTAGTTTGAAAAATGCTCCCGTTACATCAGTTGATGTTAAACGAAGTTTTTCCATATATGTATAAATGTATGTACTCAGACAGAAGCCACAAGTTTTTGTTAGAAAATTTTGAACACCACTTGGTCATTTATTGTTACCATAATTCTAAATAAGTTTATTCATACTTAAAAATGACGTAGTTACTTAAAATAAATGTAAATCTTAATGAATAGTAGGAAATATTTAGTTATGTACACTTTTTTTTTTAAATAAAATTGTTACTATTTTACGATTTTTTTATTTATTTGTGATGCATATTTTGTAAAATATTTGCATATTTTCGGGTAAACACGTGCATATTTATGCGCATATTCTCTACATTTTTATTTGCATATTTGCCGAAGTCTATATATATATATATATATATATATATTATATATATATAAATATATATATATATATATTAGTGAGAGACAAAAACACTCAATCGCTAAAATATAAACGCAGTGTTAGGGGCACATCGTAAATTTACATTTATTACATTTAAAATATTTTTAATTATTTGAAAGATATTGATTTTTTAACCAAATTGTAACTGTTAATATTTTGTAAAGCCCATTTATAAATTGTAAAATATGACATTTTTGCCTAAATGTGAACCTAATAATTAATCGAAAATACTGTTTAGATTTAAGTATGTAGGTATTAATTATTATAGTACAGCTAATAAACCAAAATGGTCGATGCTGTTATTAATAAAATGAAAAAAAAGGATCGCCAAGTCAAATGAGAGTATGATATAATTATCTAAAAACATAAAATAATTTTAACCTGCTAGAAAAACAATTATCTCATTCTTTAGACTGTATAATTATTTTATTTTAAGTAAATACTTCCATACTCACTAAACCGAAACAATTTAACCCTATTTTATTATCCCAAATGTTTCACATCGGTCGTAAATAGCTTGATTAAATTATTAAATCAGTTTAGTGGTTAAAAATCGAAACAAATAATAAACGCACCAAGGTAAATATTTAATAACTTAAATGAATCAATTACACTCTAAATATTTAAAAGAAGGTAAAAACAGCGCTGTATTAGTCTTATAAATCAGTGTCGCATAACTATTCTAGTTACTAGATTGCATTCCTCAGAAAAAATGTATAGTATTATTGTTCTTTTAGTATTATCCGGAGCCATAGTCAACGCTAAGGTAAGTTGGGGTACTGTTTAGGCCGTAGAAATGTCAACGAGATTGCTTTCTTTAGGTTAAAGTTTTTTGTAGCTATATTTGCTATATATTCAATAGGTGAATTGCAGAGAGTTGATGGGTCAATTATTGACTAATAAAAGTCGTTAGTTACTTCCTTGGTTTACTAGAATACGTTTGGCTTTTATTTTTTTTTAAAGCATTCTCAGTTATCTACGTGGATCGTGAATCCCGTTGGTGTCCCAAAAATTTGGTGATAATATTAAATATTACACAAATATGACAAATTGTCATTAAAAATTAAATAATTGGTGTCAAAAGTCAATTTTAACACCACTTCTTCGCAATCCCGCTTCAACCTACATTAATAAAATCAACCGATATATTAGCAAACTTAAAAACAAAAAAAAATTATTGAAGATCAACTAACCAGATCCCTCCATAATTAGAATAGATTATACCTAGATTGTACTGTCTCCCCAAAATTCATTAGCCACAACTGAGTATGCGACTCATATTCTTGTTAATAAATGCTCCGAACATGAATATGGCTCAATTTCTAACGAGCGTTCTTTCCCAAGCATACAATTATAATAATGACTTTAACATCACAGATTCTTTCCAGGTTAGTTAATTTATTTATAAATATTAATTATCCAGAGGCTTTGTTTTGGTAAGCTGTGATATAGTATCCTTGTTCACAAATCTTCCACTTTCCAGTGTATTAACTTCTCTCCACAATCATTGGAATAAAATCCAACTCCCCAACTGCTATCTTGGGAAACTTTCTCTCAATTATTAAAATTTACTTTTGATACCAATGATTTAATTTTCAATGACAAAATTATCGTCAAATTTTCGGAATACCTATGGAATCTACGATTTCTCCTATTCTAGTCAAATTTGTATTAGAAGATCTTATTAATGAGAGTATCAAGAAGTTAGATTTTCAGGTTCCCCTTGTAAAACGGTATGTCGATGATTTGATTTTAGCAAATCCACTGGACAAGACGGTGGGCATCTTATCAGTTTTTAACTGATTTGATCCTTACCTGCAATTTACATGTGAATTCGAGGTTAATTATAGTATCAGCTTTTTGGATATGCGAATTATTCGCACACATAATAAGAGATTAGTCACTACCTGGTACAGAAAAGAAATGGCTAGCAACCGTTTTTTAAATTACTATTCGACACACCCAATCAGATATAAACTTAACCTGGTACAAGCCCTCAGCTTTAGAGTACGCACGTTGACGCACCCGCTTCACGAAAAATAATCTCTCATTTTACTAAAGTCCATTCTCATAGATAACTCTTATCCCATCCCGCATCTATCATAAATAAATTTCTATATTCGTGAAGCTATGGGCAGTCCATTACTGAAACCCTTTACATATGGTATATTTGTCATCTTTGAGTCTCCTCTTGTTAGTATTTCTGGATTGATTGTGGTGTTATGTGCTTTTTCTTTCTGTAATATTGTGGAATCTCTTGTTCATAAATAATAATGGGTAGTCATTTTTAGTCAAAACCTTTTGTAGCAGTTTTTTTCTTTGTAAAATGCATTTCCATTGGAACAGGTGCTTCAATGGAAATGCATTTTACATACATTATTTAATGTATTACTTAGATCTGTTATTTTCAATATTATAGGCAGGACTTTTTTATTTAAGAGTATTATTTCTGCTTTTTCACACCGACTTCGCTCGGTGTGAAATTCGTTTTTCGGTTAGGCAAATATTCAGCAAGATTTCTAGTGCATTTATAACAATTTTGGCGCTCATATTTAATATTTCAGATGATATATAATCCTCCTTAGGAATTTGTTTGTTTTTTATTAGTTGTAAGGAATGTCTGATATTTAAAGGAAATAGTTTTAGAAGAGTTTCTGAATCTACCTTTCTCTGATCTGTTATGGGATTGCGTATAGTAAATATATAAAGATTTTTATATAATGTACTTATTTCAATAATTAATTATTTTCTGTCAACGTATTCTGATGGTTCTTAATTTTAATTAGTTTTGATTTCTCTCTAGTTAATTTTGATTTTAATATTTTTATTTTTCATTGTTTTCCATGTTCTTTAATATTTTTTGTGTTTTATAAGCTTGTAAGTCTGTCCGCAGGACCTATACTTACGGTAATATCTAATTATCTATTCAAAATGGATCAAAATTGAAATTTTCTTTTTACTGAATTCAATCAGTTCCATTATGTTTATAATATTTTTCTTTAACTTTCAACCTTTTGTTTGATCGGACAACAACGAAAATATGGTACACATCAACGGCCCTATTTTTAAGCTAATTATAATATCTCCGCAATAGCAGGTTGTTAAATATACTTCGTGCTTTTTCTATTCTTCCTGTAATTTCTTCATTGTACTTACTATGTTTATTAGCTCATAAGTCTGATTAAGCTTATAAGTAAGTCTAACATACCAACAGAAACAGCACTTTACCATCTAGTACAAAGGTTGGAGTATATTCTGGAGAAAAGAACATGATACTGAGAGGAAGCGTTCATCAGTATACTGTTTGAAGTAATTATGAAAACCATTCTTCTAAAAGAAATAGACAAAGTAAGCTGCACGTAAATACAATGCAGGCTTAAGAGCCACATGACCACACTGACTACTAATAGGTGAGACCATATCAGCACAGGTTGCCAGTAGATACCCGAAGGAAGAACCAATATAATACCTGCTATACAATCTGGTTATTAATCGATTGATTTGGTAATTGTAGGTACATATCTACCTCTTAGTTGTATTGTCCATTCTTACATCGTCTTTAAATAGCTCCTTAAAAGAAGCTTAAAACTATTAAGTTTATAGTAAGCCCGAAATATTCCAGTCTACCGTCTTACGTCCCTATATCCTTAAAAATTATAAGGATGAACTTAGAACGCCTACAAAATGTAAGAGACCTAATACAGCTTTGATTTCAATAATGATTGTATCTTCTGCATTTCTAACTGCTATACCAAGATTTATAGTACTATACTCTGATTTTTGCAAGTTATCTATTTGTGCATTGTACTTGAGTGTAGAGCCTGAAAAATATAATTTCCAAGTCTGAAGGACTATTTTGACGATTAGACTAACTATCGATTACTTCTTCTTACAGTGACATCCTCGTTGGAGGTTGAAATTCACACTAGCCCATATAACCTTATTTACGGGATTCCAATAAAAAGTTTTACCGGTTCACTGTCTAAAGCCACAAAATGATAGGTGACGTGTTTCCTTTTCCTTTTACTTTGCCTTGCATAAGTTAAAGGATATTTTTTGCATGATTTCAGATTATATAATCGAATTATGACAATTTACTTTAATTTACCGTTAGAAGTAGTTTTTGACCTATTGTTTGCGAGACAGTATTACAAGTTAAAAACACATAAGGTGGACTGAGTGACAATACTCTCTCTTCTTTATATTTCGAGAAAAAAAAATTGTAAATTGGTTTAAATCCATAAAGTTTTTTTGGATTTGCTATTAAAGACAATCCTCGTCCAATACTTGGCTCAACTAGTTCTTCAACTTCGTGGTCACTAGTTGTTTTGTGGTCTTCCTTTATATTTTTTTATCATCAGAGCCACTTACCACTTCTTCATCACTTTTGATCTCCACAAACAGTTTCAGGGTAAGGTTTTGTTTTTCTTCGTAATGTTTTATATTTTAGCAAAATTAAAATCAAAGGTTTACTTACTTTTCAGTTCTTATTTATTGGTGGTTTTATTGTTAGTTCCTTCTATTCCGCTATTGCTGACCTTCAACAAAAAAAATAACTTTTTGGAAAGTTTATTGCTAGATTTCAATCGCGAGAATTGTAATTGCGAGTTTTTAATCATGAGGTAAATTTATAATTCTATGTAAAGACAACTGTAATCATTAATATTAAACAATAATTGACATGATGTTATTAAACATTGGGTATTATAAATAACAATTGTTCTATGTTTTAGCCGTCCTTAAAAGAAACTGATCCAGCTGTAAAAGAATCTTTGGTCAAATGCAATAAGGAATACAATTATACTCTTCAAGATTTCTACGATACCATAAAAAAGAGCCAACCTGACTCAAGAACGAAAGAATTTTGCTATTGTTTTTATCGATCACTGGAATTAATTAATGATAAGGGGATGATAAACATGAATAAAGCGACAGATTACATTCGCCATGAATATGGTAATAAAGCAGAAGATATTATAAAAAATTGTTTAAATCAAAAAGATACTCCTGTTGAGACATCTTTTGCAGTAAGGCTTTGTATTTATAAAATCGTTAATATTTAGTCAGTATTTTAAAACAAACTTTGTTTCATGTACTTTAGGTTAAATTTCTTTCATTTTTATTTAACTGCTTACTTACTAATTCATTAATACTTGTAATTAAATTTTTTTATTGCTTCTTTGCTGTATTTGTAGATATTTGATTATGATTTATGAAATAAATGCTTTATTAAATATTTGGTGTTGAATCCTATTCTTAATATGGTTTCGAAGCTATTTTTGTAAAATTTTAAATTTTATTCATTATATTCTGTGGCAATTTCAATTTTGGAATAATTTATTTGACGTTCTTCGTAAAATATTAATTTTTCAGTCATTTTCTATGAGCAAAATAACGAAGTTACTTAAATAAGTGTAGAAATTTTTATTAGTATTAAAGTAAACACTGTTTATTATATTAATAATATTTTTATTTATTTAATGCTACCAAGTAGTGCTGTGGTAGCATTAAAAATTTTTTGCAGAGTAACCAAAGAGAAACAAAGTAAAAAAACTGAGCAGAGTAACCCGATGCATTCATGAGATACACATCAAAGTGCGATGCTCATACCTTATCTCGAATTCTGTATAACTGCTTGTTTCTCTAAGTGTAAATGCCGTACAACAAATTCGAAAATACATGACTAAGCATTCCAAAACTAACCTTTTTATTAAGACGCACATTGCGAAGAACAACCCTGATTTAAATTGCACCTCAAATATATGAAATTCTGAGTTTTACTGTTTATAGAAAAACTATGATTTATATTGGGATTTTTGATTATTATAACTTTGTTTGTTTTAGAGATATTAAAGATCGTTTCAAAATTTTGCTAGCCCGGTCGGTTTGGCGAATTTGTCTGAAGATCTTTTGTAGTACAGCTGCAGTCATTGAATAGTTTACACCCTTACATATCTAGTAGTCGATTTTTGAATTTTACCTCGTTTAAAACACACATTTTACGTCAAAGTACCAGAAAGTGGCGTTCCCGAACAAAACAGATTGATTAAAATTAAAAAACCAAAATAAAGTTTACTAACCACCAGAAGATCGTCCAGGTCATATGATACGAAATCAAATTGATTATATCTTGATAAACAAAAGATTCCGCAACTATATAAAGAGAGTGGCCGCTTACCCTGCTGTGGGCATTTTGTCTGACCACAACCCCCTAATAGCGAATGTAAGGCTTCGATTGGCAAAGGTTAAAAAGCCATCTAATAAAAAATATATAAAAACTAGAGAATTAATAAGAAATAAAGAGCTTAGATCTACATACAGTAAGTACATCAACGAGAACTTGAGAAACAAGGAAATTACATGAAGCAAACCTGTGAGAAAATAAAAATAGCTATAGTCGAGGCTGACGAAGTAGTCGCAAGTAAAATAAAAATCACAAAAACGAGTGGATGATGGAAAATATACTTGATCTAATGAAGCAAGTCAGACAGTACAAAATACATCAAAATCAATAGGAATACAACGAAAATCAACGTACGATAAGGACAAGAAATAAAAACGAAAACGAAAGCTTGACGAAAGAACGTTGTAAAGAATTTGAGTCACTACAAGAAAAGGGAGACAGCTTTGGACTACATAAAAAGGTCAAAGAAATTTCAAGTATATACAAGAAACACCATGAGACTCGCCTGAAGAATGATCAAAGAAACTACATTCATACACAGGAAGAACTAGCTAAAATCTGGGCAAACTATGCTTCGTCCCTCTTTGCAGATAATAGACCGAATCTGCCAACTACTAACTTACCCACGGAAAATTTATCCGGCCCTACCATTATTCGCGCCGATGTTGAGTACGCTATGAAAGTAGCAAAACTAGGCAAGGCCCCTGGACCAGATGGAATTACTACGGAAACCATAAAACTGTTGGAAGATGATAACATTGATATGCTGGTAACAATTTTCAATGCCATATATTATAACACTGACCGAATTCCAACGGATTTGCTTTATTCAACCTTTATAATAATCCCTAAATCACAAAGAGCGACAAAATGAAAAGACCACAGACTAATAAGTTTAATTACCCATTTGCTTAAGGTGTTTCTCCGCATCCTTCACACAAGAATGTTCAGAAAGCTAGAAGATCTAAGCGGTGAGACATAATTTTGTTATGTGGACTGCATGGATCAACGAAAGGATATGGTCATAACATTCCTCGATTATGAGACGAGATGATGATAACATTGACGAGAAAGATATACGAGTTATCCAGAATCTCTATTGGAATCCAGAAGCACGAGTCAGACTGAACAGATCAACCAACACAGAAGAATTTGAAATTTTAAGAGGGGTGTATTTTGTCTCCCTTTGCAGAGGCACTGGAATGCTGTAAGTGTGGAATAAAGGTAAACTGTTTCCCTATAAATAACATTAGTTACGCCGACGAAACAGCGATAATAACAGACAACGAACATGAGATATAGTTGATGTTCAATAAAATAAACACCGTAGAAAAAATATATCGCTTGAAGATAAACGCTGGAAAAACTAAGTGCATAGCAATAAGAAAAAAATGCACTTTTAAGAATACAACTGCAAGTAGATAATGCTGCAATCGATCAAGTGAAATCATTTAAATATTTGGGAATAATGATGAATGACCAATGGGATCTTCAGCAAGAAATAAAATGCTGTACCAAACAAGCAAGATAATCGTTTATCAAATTTAAACCGCTACTTCTTCTTCTTTGAGTGCCTCTTCTATCGGAGATTGGATATCATTATGGCGATTCTATAATTTTATTCACTTTTTTTATTCACTGCTATTCGCTATTCGCTACTATGTAACCGAAATCTTTTGTTTAATGTCCACTATAGGATTAATAAGTTGGGGGCCTTCGAAATGTGGACATTGCGAAGAATGTTCCGCATACCATGGACAGATAGAGTGAAAAACGAGAAAGTCTTAAGAAAGGCAAATACTAAGAGAAAACTACTCAATTTGATCAAGATAGAAAAATTGGATACCTCGCCCATATTCTGAGGGAAAAAAATACGCAATCCCTCAACTAATCATCGAGGGAAAGATTGAAGGCAAGATAGGAGTAGGTCGCAAACAAATGTCGTAGCTACAGATCATAAAGAACTGGACAGGTATAAATAACACTGGCACGATCTTTTGCATGCCGCAAAAGACAGACGTCTGGCTTTAAGAAAATTCGCCAACGCACTATAGGTGCAAGAAGAAGAGAAGCTTTAAGCAATACATACCGAGTAACTGGTTAAATACGCCCTAAAAAAGTATTTGCTTTCACTGACGATAAGATAGCTTACACGTTGAATTTGGAAGCCTATATATGTAAGCATCCAGGAGGTCCTTACCAAGTAAGCAACTGAAGGGAAGAAGTTGTGTTGCATTTAGTTGAATCAGTATCTGGATCTTATCTAAATATCACGGGCTATAACTGGTTCAGCAGTATTCCTTTGGCGAAAAGAGTTTTACATAAAAAAAAAATTACGTAGGAACGATGAGAAAAAATAAACGGGAAATACCAAAGGAATTCCTTCCAATACGAAACAGAGTGGAGCACTCCTCCGTACTTAGTTTTCACGAATGCTGCGCTTTGGTGTTCTATTGTTTGAAAAAAAAACAAGGCTGTACTAGTTTTATCAACATTCCATTCCACCGTTGATATAAATGAGTCTACAGGAGATAAAAATAAACCAGAGGTCGTGACTATTTATAATATACCTATGAGGTTGAAGTCGACCTAGTTGACAAGCTTTGTCGACACAATAATGTTGCTCGCAACACTAGACGTTGGCCAAAAGTACTGATCTACAATCTGGTAAACATTTCCGCAATAAATTCTCTTTGCATTTACGAATATCACCAGCATATAAACAAGAAGATATCACGTGTTTGTTTCTTACAAAAGCTGAGTTGGAAGTTAATCAAACCTCAAACAGAACGAAGGTCCCAAAATCCAAACATTTTAAGGAAGCTACAACAACGTGCAAAACTGCTGAGTATTGAAGAAGATGAGCAGCCAGCCGAAGCTAGAACGGGATCCTGAAGAGATGTTAAATATGAGAAAGGGTTTGAGATAAAACCACCAGAAAATTCTGTTCCAAATGTGGAAAATGAGTTTGTGGTGACCACTTGAGAGAAATCTATATAAACTGACACCAAAATGAGGTTATGTGAATGTATTATCGCTTACTTGAAAATAAAGGTTTGTTGTAATAATTTTTCGGTTTTATCTTGATAAATACAATATACTGATTATATTTTCATGGAAAATAAGCTAGGAGTTAAAAAAAATGGTATATAAAAAAATGGGTGATATTTGTCCCCCACGCCCATAAACACGCCATTCTTAGTCACGCCACTAACGGAGGGCTAAAGAACTTCTTCTCTTCTTCGCGTTCCATATCAGAATTATCCGACCTTGGCGATCACCATTGCGAAGGCTTCTCGATCTTCTGCAATATGGAATAATTGTCCTGCATTTGGTATCTGAGTCCATTCACGAATGGTTTTTAAACCAAGAAACTTGTTTTCTTCCTACACCTTTACTGCCCTCTATTTTGCCTTTAAGGATCAGTTGTAATATTTTATATCGACTTCCCCTTACTATTTGTCCCAGATAAGATAAAGAACTTGCAAACTGCAAATATTTTCTTTGTCCCAAATCAATATCCTATTGGTTACTAGTGATAAAAGAGTGTATGGTTTTCTAAATAAATTTAAACATATTGCAAAAGTTTGTCTGTAGTCAATCTTAGCTATCTCGTTAACCTTTATTTTTAAAATAATTGTCATTTACCTACCTTTCCGTGACCTATTTTCTAGTATTATCTTAAAGAAACGTTCTGATAAGCCCCTGGACAAGAAGCAAGTATCCCTGTCGTTCCTGATTATTGTTTTCTTACTATCACTTTTTCTTTTTGTTTAATTCAGGTATAGAGTTTTTAATGAGGTTTTTCGACTCGAATAGATACACTTTTTGCCCTAGCAATTGTTAGTCTAGATATAAATATTAGTAATTTTTAATTTC